CTGCTGAGAAAAAAGTATATCCGCTTGATGATGGTTGATATAGTCTATATATGTCAGTTAAGTCTACTTTATTAATTGTGTTATTGAGTTCTATAGTTTCTTTATTCAACTTTTATTTGGAAGATCTGTCCAATGGTGAGAAAGGTGTGTTGAAGTCACCCCACCCATAATTATTGTGTTGTGGTCTATTTGACTCTTGAACTTTAGGAGAGTTTGTTTTATGAACATAGCTGCGTCATTGTTTGGTATTGATAATTGTTGTGTCTTGTTGGTGAATGGTTCCCTTTAATAGTATATAGTGTCCTTCTTTATCCCTTTTGATTAACTTAGGCTTGAAGTCGATTTTATTCGATATGAGGATGGCCACCCCTGCTTGTTTCCGAGGACCATGTGAGTGGTATGATTTTTCCCAACCTTTCACCTTCAGCCTGTGTATGTCTTTTCCTATCAGATGATTCTCCTGAAGGCAGCATATTGTTGGATCTGTTTTTTTAATCCAGGTTACCAGCCTATGTCACTTTATTGGTGAGTTTAAGCCATTAACTTTAGGGTTACTATTGATATATAGTTTGTACTTCAGTCATGTTTGTTTATTTATTTTTAATTTTGTTTGTTTTTCCCTCTTTGATTAGTTCCCCCCCTTTTACTGAGGTACTTCCCACTGTTGGTTTTGGTTGTTGTTTTGCATTTTCTCTTCGTGTATTGTTTTGCCCTAAATGCTTTCCAGTGCTGGTTTTCTGGCTGCAAATCTTTTAACTTTTGTTTATTATGAAAGATTTTTATTTTGTTGTCAAATTTGAAGCTTAATTTTGCTGGATGCAATATTTTTGGTTGGCACCCAAGATCTTTCAGCGTTTGAAATACATTGTTCCAGGATCTTCTCGCTTTCAGAGTCTGTGATGAAAAATCAGCCGTTAACCTAATTGGTTTACCCCTGAATGTAATCTGCCTCCTTTATTTTGTAGCTTTTAATATTCTCTCTTTGTTCTGTATGTTGGATATCTTTATAATAATGTGTCTTGGAGTTGGTCTATTGTGGTTCTGTATGTTCAGTGTCCTGTAGGTTTCTAGGATTTGGACATCCATTTCATTTTTCATGTCTGGAAAGTTTTCTAAAATTATTTCATTCAACAGATTGCTGATTCCTTTGGTTTAGACCTCTATACCTTCCTCTATCCCAATGACTCTTAAGTTTCATTTTTTTTATGATATCCTATATCTCTTGGATGTTTTGCTCATGGTTTCTTACTAGCCTTTCTGAGTTGACTAGACTCTTTTCGAGATGATATATTTTGTCTTCATTGTCTGATGTTCTGACTTCTACTTGATCTACTCTACTAGTAATACTCTCATTTGAGTTTTTCATTTGGTTTATAGTTTCCTTCATTTCTAGGATTATTGTTTAATTTTTTTATAACCTCTATCTCCCAGTAGAGTAGTTCTTTTGCTTCTTGAATATGTTTATGTAATTCATTTTCAATGTGTTCTTTCATTGTTTGCATTTGCTGTCTAATAACCTCTTTAAGATTCCATTCCATCTGAGTCAGGTATGCCTTGAGTTCTTTATCTGACCATTTTTCTGATGCCTCTAGGTTCTCCTGTAGATTTAGGCTGTCCTGCATTGTTTGTAATCCTTTTTTTCCTTGTTTTTTCATGATGCTCATGTTACTTTCCAGCTCTGTTTGACTGCTGTGTTACTATTTACTCCTATAAATTTGTTTTGGGTTTGTATATCTCCAGGATCTCTCCTTTGTGATGGGAGACTATGTCTGGAGATGTTGGGTTTTATTGTACTTTAAAGCAAATTCATTCATTTCATAAAAGGCATACGGATTCTGATGGCATATAGCGATCAGCAGTTTGGTCTTAGGACTTTACATTTAGGTTGGATGATGTGATGGTATGGGGGTTGGTATATATTAGCAACCTTGGAAGATTGCTCTAATGTAGGGGGATATTAACAGGAGAATGGACCGGAGTATTTGGGGGTAGCTAGGGACTTGGGAGCATTATAGACTGCCTCGGAACATTCACCTATATGCATTTAATAAATTACACATAATAGAAGTCATAATTCTTGGGAGGTAAGGTAGGAGAAGGAGAAGGAAGAAGTCATTAAAGAGAAAGAGAGAAAGAAAAATAGGTAGAATAAAAGAAAATGGAAAAAATTGAAAAGAAAAGAAAAAAAAGATAAATGCAGTCTTAGAGTTCGATTATCTTCTCTTCTAGTAGGTGAAGCTGTGCCCTCTGGGCCAAGCTTCTGCCCTCAATATGCAGGAAACAATTCCTGTGAGGCAGCTCCTCCTCCCCAGCTGGGCGGTTCACCAATCCTGGTCACCCAGGGCCGCTCCTGGTCTCCAATCCCCTGCTTCTTCTGCCCGCCAGGCCCCACTCACCAGTGGCATTCTCCACAGAACTAGCTACACTCCGAGCCTGCAGTCCCCTGGGTGCCCTGTTCTCCCCAATGACTGGGCACTCTCTCTGTTTGCCATTCACCCAGACCCCAAGGTTGTGGAGCTCGGGGGCTGGGGGCTGTCAGCTTGTTTTGCCTGATTCCCTCCGGTAGCCAGGCCCCGGGAGCTGTCGGAAGAAGGCCTCCATTGTCAGCACTGGTGGGAGGGGGAGTTGGAGGTCAGGTGTCCCTCCTGATTCCCTGGGCTCCTACAATCACACTCATGGAGAGCTGGGGAGAGATTTTTGAGATTTCCCTGATGTATGGGGAGGGAGGGCTGAGGGTCACACACCTGTGGTCACTGATTTCACTGCAGAGCCATCCATCCACCGAATTCTGATGCCGTCAGTTCTCTGCCATGGTGGACGCTGGTCTCCTTGCCGGTGTGTCCGATGAGAAGGGTGGGTCTGGTCTGTCTCTCCCAAGTCCCACTTCAGCCCTCGGTCCGTTGGCCCATGGAGGCTCGGTTGGCACCACCTCAAAAGATCCGAAGTTTTGTTTCTCTACTCTGCTTGAGGGTCTCTGTAGCACTGAGTCGTGGCGGGTTGGCAGCGGGTCATCAATCAACCAGCCAGTATCTCCGTGCTCAGAGTGGTCTGGATTCACCCACGCCTGAGCACGCTGGGGCCTCTGAGAAGCTCAAACTGCTCACTTATGTTCCACCTCAGCCCAACATTGCTGGACGTTCCTGAGCAGGCATCATTCCTCATTCTGAAGTCTCTCTCTGCCAGCTTAGCTGAGGAGGTCACAGGAGTGTTCCCTCCGCACCCTCTCAGAACCTTGTTTCTTAAAGTCATAACTGCTGATTTCAAATTACTGAGGTGTGGCACATTCCACTCGCTGTTAAGCAACTGTCCTTCCAGGATTCCATTGGCTGCTAATTCATAAGGCTCAGCAATGCTGGGTGGTGCACACCTGCAATCCCAGCAGTTTACGAGACTAAGGCAGGAGGATCGCAAGTTCAAAACCAGCCTCAGCAACTTAGCAAAACACTAAGCAACTCAGCAAGACCCCATCTTTAAATAAACTACTTAAAAAGTGACGGGGGAGGGCTGGGGATGTGGAAAAGTGGTAAAGTGCCCCTGTGTTCAATATCTGCTATGAATGAATAGATAGATAGATAGATAAAATAAGGCTCAGCTGCACCTCTTTAAGAGTTAAGTTCCTTGGGCTGGGGCTGTAGCTCAATGGCAGACTCTGGAGGCTCTGGATTTAACCCCTACTTCTTCCCGAAAAAATGTTAAGTCCCGTGCTCCTGGCACAATCCTTGTCTCCTTCCCCCACTGCAATATTATATATTTCTGTGTTTAAACAGGAGATTCAAACCACAAATGAAAGTATAATGGTTGGAACTGTTGATTCTTGGAATCATAAAGGCTAAAATGCAAGACAAAGGAAGGTGGATGAATGTGTGAGGAGGACGGAGGATGGTGTTCATGTGACAGATGCATGAGGAGTGCTTGTGTTTATGTTAAAGCAGAGAATCCACTTAGCTGCCCACACCTGTTCTCACTGGTTGGCACAAGGGGCATGTAAAATATGAGAGGACAGGTAAATACCATAAGGTGGGGTCTGGAAGACTTGGAAGCCTATGGGTGACAAGGATTTGTCAGGAATTCGGACGAAGGGGGAAGTTTCTCCTGGCTCCCAGGCCAAGAAGAGAATGTCACAACACAGTGGCCTCCATGGAGAGTGCTTTCTCATCCTGGGCCAGATCATGCTTCGGGAATAGAGGGGAAATGGGAGAGCACAGGAGGATGGGCTGTGTTTCTGGAAGGTCTCAAGGGAGGATCACGGGAACAAAAACAAACTGGAAAAGGCTCCTGACTCCTTCCGAGAAAATTCAGAGATGACAGGGACCAAAGGACAGAAAACGAGTTGGCGGCATATCTGAGGTGACCTCAACTCTCCTCACTCTGAGTGTGCATATTTGAGCGAGTGTGTCAGGCATGCACCGTGTGGACCTGCATGCACCACTGAGGCACAAAGAGCTTGTTTCTCTCATAGATTTTCTCCCAGGTTCACAACTGCCCTGGGATCTCCCAGACCCCCTCCCTGCCCTGTTTCACCACCACCATCTCTTCCTTCCCAATACCCCATGGTTGAGCGTCCCTTGTCTACCCACCAGCCCCCGCTGTCCTGCCTCCAGGCCTTCTATCTGGCACATTCCTCTACCTGGAGTACCTGCTTCCCCAGCCAAGAGCCAGTCATCCTTCATGGGTGGACACAAATATCACCTGCCATTATCTCTTCCTCATCCTCCCAGGATAAATAAATAATTCTCTCCTGTGTTCTCTAGTCCTTGAGGTCACAGTAAGAGTACCTCACATTGTGATGATTGTTTATACATTTCAAGGAATGAGGTATTTGAGAATATACATATCCCTTTATAGCTTTTGTTTAATCAATTTTTTTAAAGGACCTACTGGGAAAGTATGGCCCTCTGGTTATGTGATAAATAATATTTCCAAGGGAAGCAGGAGCTAAGAGAGTGTTCTTCTTGTGTTTGAGGGTCCCTTTCCCATACAATGATCTGGGACAACAATACCTCAATCCACAGCTGCATCTGCATCTCCCCTGAGTTCATCACCATGGTCACTACAGTCGTCTTCAAAGGCGTACCCTGACAGCATTCCTGTCTCAGTTATCATAAGGCCAGCAGGTCATGGGCAGAAGTGAGAGGGAAGAGCCAGTGGCTTGTGGCAGCTGTGGAGAGCAACCTGGGCTGAGACCGGGGAGAGAACTTGAATCCCACTCTGACCCCACCCACTGAGCCTTCTCCCCATTAAATGGACACATGAACAAGATGTCCTACCCTCCACAGCCATCAGTGGGGAGGATAAGCCCCTATTGACCATAAATCACATGATCCTCAGGCTGTGGTAAAGTAGAGGACTGCTGAACCAAGCACAGAGCCTGACGCTGCTGCTTCAGGGCAGGGGCACAGGATGACTGCAAACAGATTTCCTTAGGTACAAAGAAGCAGAGAAGATTCTGCCCTGATTCACTAACATCTCTACCCAAGAGGACCATGTGGAAGGTGGGCTACAGGACAACAGAAACACAAGGGGTGGGCAGTACACAGACTTGGGAGGAACAGTACTTGGTGGCTCCCATGCATACATCTGGGGACAGGAGCCTTGGGTAATCCCTGGGAGGAGGCAGCTGGGAAGGGCTTGGCACGCCTAACTCATGAGTCTGGGTAAACCAGGCAGGTAACCTGGAGAACAGAAGGAATAGAAGGCTGCAGTAGAGACACAGGAAGGATGGCCAGGTGAGAAGGAGATGGAGAGCATATCTGGGCACTCCTGCCCCTTGCCTGGTGCAGATTCCTGGCTGCCAAGCTCAAACCAGATCCCACATGGGGATGAATGAGCTCCAGAGTTGACTGAAAGAGTATGGGTTGTAGATTGTACTTTCAGAAATAGAAGTCATGACATTTTGACTGATGAGTGTTGTACTCTTTCTTTTTTTTTTTTTATTTTTTATTTTTTTTTTAACGTTTTCCTGCATCAATTCCACTTCTGTCAGTTAATGCTCTCTGGTGGAATAAAAGGGGCAAATGACAAGATTATGTAAGTGCCCTGCCCTTAGCCAAACTTATGACTCAACAGGGCCCTCTCTTCCTTCTTGTGTTTGAGGGTCCCTTTCCCATACAATCATTTGGGACAAAACAATACCTCAATCCACAGCTGCATCTGCATCTCCCCTCAGTTCTTCACTATGGTCTCTGCAGTTGTCCTCAAAGGCGTACCCTGGCAGCATCCCTGTCTCAGTCATCATGATTCTACAGGCTCCTGAGGTCCAGGCCATGAGATGGGGCCCTGTGTGTAGTTCCTATGTCTGAACCTCTGAATGGCAGTGTGAGAGATCTCAGACCAGGACCCACTCATCAAGAAGCGGGAGTCTTCTCAGACTCAGGTGATCGCTTCATTCATGCCTACACTGGCCTGAAATGTGTATTTGAAGCTGTTTAAATGGTGGTTGCCTGATTGGATCTCGAGATAACAATGAAATTGACCAAAGGAAACTTTGAAAGGTTAATTATAGCCAGGCGCTGCTGCACATGCCTGTGATTCCAGCTTCTTGGAGGCTGACGTAGGAGTATTGCAAGTTGGAGAATGGCCTGGATGATTTAGCAACATCCTGTCTCAAAATAACAATTTTTAAATGAGCAGGGGACGTGGCTCAGTAGCAGAGCGCCCCTGCTGGATTCAATCCTCAGTACCTCAAAAGAAAAAGAAAAAGATTGTTTCTGCAAGCCTCCAGGTGGCAGCAGAGCTAGGCATTTTCTTCCTGACTGTCCGAACTTTTCCCAAAGGAGAAGTTGCTTTTGCTTTTAGAGAGTCTTTCCTGAAAGTTTTCGGGCCAGGGGCACAGAATCTACTGAAAACTATCGCTGATGGCAGGCTAGCTAACAACTGCCTTCAACCACGTTGATTTCAGACGGGACTTTATTAGGAGCCCGAAATTTGTTGGTATTTTAATAATAAAAAGGATGAGTCGGAAGGTGGGGATGCAAATGGTTAAACACTCGGGCCCAAGAAGTCCGGAGAGGAGACAGGAAAAGAACGAGGTGAGGAAGGCGACATATCAGAATGGTTAAGCAGCGCAGGGATTTGGGGCAGTCAGTGGAAAGCGGCCAGTCCGCGGGGCGGCTGCTGATGTTTTGTAAAAGGCAGATTTTTCTGCTGCTCCGACTTGGGTCGCCACCTGCCCTGGCCGGAGGCCCCAACTTTATCCTTGGCTTTGGGTTCGTCTTCTCCGGAAACAGCCAGGGCGGCGGGACGAGTGCGAAAGGAGGGCGGAAGCCGGCGGCGAGGAGGCAGCGGGAGGCGCTGGGGACGCGTCCCGGTCCCGCGCCGTCGCAGGAAGGGGACCCAGGCGGGGTCCTGCACCGGGCGGTGATCCAGCCGACGCCTCTGTAAGGGCACGGTGGCCAGGGGCACCCGAGGGAAAACGCGGGTGCGGGGATGCCAAGGCAACTTAGTGGAGTGGCTTAGAAAGTCGGGGCGGGGCAACAGCCGGAGCCAATCAGCAGGAGGAAGGACCCGGCGGAGCGGATTCCCCGGGGGGCGGGGCGGGGGGTTTCCGGCTTTAAAGCCTCTGAGCCCCGCGGCTGGTCTCCCAGTTCTCCTGAGCGACGAACCCACGGCCGGTTCTGTCCGCGCGGCGCTCTTTCTTGGTGTCCTGGCTCAGCTCCCGCCCCACTTTCTTTGGGCGTCGCCGGCCGGTGAGTTGCGGGATCGAACTTACGGGACACCTCCGTCCCCTTCTCAGTCCCCAGACTTCCCCTGCATGTTCCGTCCCACCGGTCCACGTCCCCGCAGCAGGTTATGCACCCTGCGCCTGGGAAGGAGCCGCGGGAGCTGAAAAGAGACGAAAAAATAAGGGTAGGAGGGAGCGAGATGACAGGGGAGAGCTAGATGGCTTGGTAATGGTCCCCAGTGCCACCCCCGTCTTCAGAAAGCGGGAATCAGAGCCTCTTTCTCCGAGAGCCCAGGAGCAAGAATGAGTCACTGTGAAAGGGTGTGCGTTTTCCCGCTGCGGGTGGCATTTACTGGCTGTGTTGTGCGTTTCCAGTGAGGAATTGCCCTGAACTCCTCCTGGCCCCTTTGCCTAGCACAGATGTCTCTATCACAGGTCGTCCTAAGTCGTAGTAACAGGTCCAGTCCCTTCCAAGTTCATGTGATATCTACTTTTTAGAATTTTCTTTTAAAGGTAAAGAAAGGTGGGGGAGGTGCCTCATGAAAATCAAAGGGAGATCAGTAGAGGAAAGAGACCAGGGGGAGGGAGGGGAGGAGAGAAAGGAAATACTGGGGAATTATATTGGTCAAATTCCGTTGCTATATTGTGCGTGTACGAATGTGACAACAAATGTCACCCGTGATGACAACTATAATACACCAATAAAACTATGAAATGAAATTTAAAATATCATCAATGGGCACTCTCTCACTCTCTTTGGTATTTGGAGACCATATGCTGCAGGCACAGGTTTCTTTGAGCCTAGTTCAGTCACTCTAGTCCAAGCACACTCTGGAGATCATGATGGGCACCTTCTGGGTTCACTTCGCCTTCCTTTCTGAGTTCCTGATCTCCAGTCTGCTCACTGCTGCACAGCACCTAGCAGTGGCTCCTATGCTGGCAATCCAGTTCCCACCGAACTATCAGCCTGTGGGCTGAGATATTTTCATTGCTTTGCAATCAATTGCTTCCCTACCAACTCTGGGTCCATTGAGTTCAGCCTCCCTCTCTGTTCCACAGGTTCTCACAGACATGTATATTTTAATCTGCCGCTGTCCCCCCCCTCCTCCCCTCAGCAACCACAGTTGCTGCTGCCAGCCAAACTGGCACAATTCTAAACATATTATTTCTTTTATTATATTCAAAGTTTCTGACTTTCTATGTCTCTGCAGTTTCTTTTACAGTTCCCCTAGTTACCTACCCATCTCTCTAAGGAGCACTCTTCCCGTGTTTTAAGTCTGCTGCTAAGGAACTATGGGAAATTGTGCCCTTCCTCTATTCTGCCATCCTCTCTCTCAAAATTCTTTCTTCCAGCTTCTTGAGATAAACAGAATGTTACAGTTTTCTATAGTCTCTCTACTGTGCCAGAACACACTGTTATCTGTTAGTTCCCTTCTATCAACATTTTCTCATCCCTCCATCCCTCTTACTGTCCACACCATCTAATTTCAACTTCTGAGATCAACTTTTGTGGATTCCACATGCAAGTGAGATCATTTGGTGCTTGTCTTTCTGTGCCTGGCTTACTTCCCTTAACATGATGATCTCCATTTCCATCAATTGTGTTGGAGAGAACATGATTTTGTTCTTTTTATGGATAAATAGTATTCCAGTGTGTGTAGGTACCACATTGTCTTTATCTGTTCATCACTTGATGGACGCCTAGGTTGTTTCTGTTTCTTTGCCTTTGTGAACAGTGCTAAAATGAACATGGGAGTGCAGATGTCTTTGACAGACTGTATTTATATACTTTGGCTATTACCCAGTAGAGGAATTCCTGGATCATATGCAAGTTCAATTTTTCAATTTTTGAGGACCTCAATACTGTTTTTCCTAGTATCCCTATTATTACCACCTAGAGGTACTAGAATCATTGACTCCATTCAGCAAAGAATCTAAGAACAAGACACCAAGATAGAAAGTAAGAAGTAGGTTTATTGCAAATGTGAAAAAGATATAGAGAAGACTTCTCTGAGAAAAAGGGCCTCAGACCCGGGAATCTGGTGGGGGAGTTTGGGCCTGTTCTTTTGATGGTCTCTGGAATTCCTCCTTTCCTTATCTGCTCCCCTGTTCATGCTCTCCTCACTATTATTGAATGGTGCCCCCTCTGTCCATGCATCTGTTTTAGTTTTCCTATTGGATCTCTTGCTTGGGAGCACTAGTATGGAAGTGTCTGTCTGACTGGGTCTCCTGTTTGTGTCCACAAGCACTTAGGTCAAGAAGGAAGTTGACCTCATCAGAAGACCCTCCCCATGCTCCTTTGTTCTGACCCTGCCCAACCTCCTCACTTGCCATCTTGCCCTGGTTGCCTAAGCCCCCCTACCTCTCCCCCACTATGAATCTACATCCAGCTAACAATATGCAGGATTCTCTTGCAGGAACTTATTTCCTTTTGTATTACTGTTAACAACCATTCTTACTGGAGTGAGATAATGTCTTCTTGTGGTTGTGATCTGCATTTCAGTGATGACTGGTGATACTGAGTACTTTTTTGTATGCCTATTGGCCATTTTACTTGTCTCTTTTGAGAAATGTCTTTTCAGATTTTTCTCCATTTTCTAATCAGCCTATTTGTTTTCTAAGTATTAAGTTCTTTGAGTTCCATATGCATTCTGGATATCAACCTATTATCTGATGTACAATATGCAAATATTTTCTGACATTCTGTAGATTCTCTCCACTCCCCAAATTGTTGCCTTTGATGTGCAGAGGATTTTTTAATTTTACTCTTCTATTTGTCTGTTTTTGATTTTGTGTTCTGTGCTTTTAGAGACTTGTCCAAAATATCTTTTCCCATTCCAATGTCCTGAAACATTTTCACTACATATTCTTGTAGTACCTTCATAGCTTCAAAACTTACATTTAAGTCTTCAGTTTTTTGGTTTATTTGTTTGTTTTTTCAAGTACTGGGGGTTGATTCCATGGTCTCCTGCATGGTAAACAAGCATTTTACCCCTGAGCATCACTCCCAGCCCATTTAATACACTTTAAGTTGATTTTTCTAAGTGAAGAGCTACAGGGGTCTAGTTTTATTCTTTTTCTTGTGGATTCCCTCCCCTGTTTTTCCAACACCATATATAGAAAATACTGTCAATTTTCTACTGCACATTCTTATCACCTTTTTCAATAATTGGCTGCTGTAGGTGTGTGGGTCAAATTCTATGCTCTCTGTTCTGTTCCATTGCTCCATGCTTCTGTTTGTAACCCAGCACCATGCTGTTTGATTACTCCAGCTTGGTTGTGTA